ACCCGGTTTGATGCCGTTTGACCTTTATCACTTGTGTACAGTATTGCTTTCGTGACTCAAATCTCCCTTGATAATAAAGAGACTTCATTCTTTATGGTCTGTCACCTGGTGTTAAATGAGGGTTATTGGTCGTAATGGTTGGAAATTATTATGAGTCCGTCCATTGAGATGTGTCCTTGGTGTATAGCTAGATGAGAGCCCAGTGAGACCAAAAGTCGCTTTTCTCATGCGATTGGACCAATCCTCGTGATCCCTCCCAGAAAGCGACTGCTTCTCCATCACAAAGCACTCGATTTTAACACGTGTGTGTTGACGCGCACACACACGTGTTGACGCGCACACACACGTGTTGACGTGCACACACACGTGTTGACGCGCACACACGTGTGCGTCTTATGGAGAGCGGTAGTGTAGTGATTAGTGCTACGCTGCGCGACGAACCCGGCCACCAGAGTTCGATTCCAGCTCTCGACCAACACCAGTGATGATTACCTAAACCGGTCTTGGGCCTCCCTTAGGTCGACTCAGCCTCAAATGAGTACCTGGTGCGGTGTGTAAACATCGCCACTGGAGAGACAAAGGCGGCCGGGCGTGGTGCTGGCCACGTACCTCATGTGCCGTGCCGGCCTTCATAGGTGCTCGCTGACAGCACTTGCCCCTACAGTCTGTTAAGGCTATACGGAGGATCCTTTGTCTTTGTGCGTGTTGGTTCAGCCCATTTTTTTGGTAACATTCATAGGTTGCTTGCAGAAGGGAACTGCGGAGCATCCAGCCCTTTGTGTGCCAGTGGCAGCCTCCCCGCAGTAATCTCATCACCGCGCTCCGTGGCGCAGTGGCTTCACTGTGCCACATTATTAGCCCATTTTGCTGCGATCGGTGATGCCTTTCAGCCAGCTATCGCAGTCATTAGGGGCCTCCCCTTGCGGCCGAGGAAGGAGGTGTGGTGGTGGCGGTGGGGAGGGAGGAGAGGCGGGGTGGCGTACGGGTTAATGTCGTTAATATACACCCCACGTGGGCCCTCGCCACAAAGGCAGCATGCTCGTGCTCCAAGACACCACCGGCTTCGATTACGGAATGTGAGCTACAGGGTTGGCGGTAAGGTCGCGTGATTTCATTGCAGCTCGCAGCATCCTATCGGTTCTGTTAACCGTGTGTTGATACAAATTGGCTAAAGTAGCAGAGTTTTCCTTGCCTGTGAATTGCTATTTTTGTCATTACTAGATTAAAGGTCAGAGTTCAGTTTATTTTTGTATTGCTTAGTTTGCTCTCATCTGAAATTGTAATGCCAATGCAGAAATACTAACCAACATTGTATTTTGTAGATCTGAGAGAGAGTGCCTTATCTGCTTTTCTCAATGATGTTGCAAGGCAGAGCCGTGATGCAGTGATTAGCACGCACTGCACTATGAACCTGGCAATTTGAGTTGGTTTCCTGACCAGGGCTAAAAGTGGCAAGTGATATCTGAACCGGCCCCCCTCCTCCCCCCCTTCACCAACCCACACTGCCCGGCGTCACCGACGCCCTTACGGTCAAACAACCCCCACGACCCATAGGTGCGCAGAAGCCGTCTTCCGGGAGAGCCTTGACAAAGGGCTGTAAATCACGAATGTGATTATTATTGATGATAGAGCACAACAACACAACTGTAGGAGTAGTAATAATGTCCTAAAAATGTTTTTTTGTTCTCCCTTTTTCACAACCTCTGCGGAGGGTGACACCGTTTATCAGAAAAACACAATCTGTGAAGGGGCTTGCTCGCAGCTGCTCCGAGCAGCGGGGGGCGTCGGCACCACTGGAGGGTGTCCACGCTCGCTCGCGGTGACATCTGCCTGCTGAGTTCACTCTGACGGCCTCTCGCCCTCCCCTCTCGCGCCCAACCCCCAATGATTCCACTTCGTCATGACTCATCCCCGGGATCGATTTTATTTCTCGCCACCCCTCTTGCCGTCTCGTTTGTTTTCTTTCTCGTTCTGGGTTCGGTTTGGTTCGCTCCGTTAGAATATCGTCAACTGCTTCATCAGCCGTGATCAATTCACCGCTTAATGTGTGTGTGTGTTGAACCTCTTTAGCACCATGCATAGCCAACCGTGCTAATCGGAGGTGAAGGTTCCTCCCCAAGCCATCGCCAACTCTCACGATCCTGCGGTTGATGAGTCTAACCAATTGTAAATGACCAATAGTTAAGTGTACAATTCAATGCATAGATTTTATTTGACGCATTTGTTGCCGTGCCGGTGCTGAATTCACAAGGCACGCGTGGACATTTTAATACTCAGCCGGAATGAAGGATGCCCAAAATCAACTAAACGATTTCTCCTTTCACAGTGCGAGCAAATGATGCAGAACCGTTCTATCTGCCTGTGGCTTGAGCGTGCAGCTTGCCTCTAAAAATCATATTACAGTGATCTCCAAATGGATATACGGTAATGCAATACGCATTTTATTATTATTTTTTCGCCAAATAGCCCGGTCGTTCCGCTGCCATGAGTTCCGCGCGAATACATCATCGCTGTCTTTGGCGACGTGCGTTGACACCGATGTTGTCGTTATCCCGCTCCGCTACTTGCTGATGTGCCACTGTCTGTCCGCAGTTGCCGGAGAAAACACGTGCGCACGTGAGGGTTTGGTTAGCTGTAACTGTTTCTGGGTTTTTAAAATAAATAAATACATTTGTTCGAATAGCTGCCATTTATTGTAATTGTAATAATATAGTGGATACTAGCATTATTCCAAAAACGTCTGCACCACTCTCGCGGACACGATATAATTTTTTTCGGTTGCAGTAAATAACAGTTAAAGCTAAAATAAGCTACACGTGGCAAGATTCCATCCAATTGCGTGTATCTATAATTGTGTAGAAGGTACTGTAGAAAAATAAAATCCGTGTGTTAAAAATCACAGCGCAGGATGCCAGTCGTGATTGTGTTTATAGAGAAACGGTTACGTGTTGTTGGAAAAACGGTCACGTTTGGTCCACTTATTCAAACAAAAAAAGAAGGCAATTTTGATTGGGGCTATCCGAGTTGTTTTTTCACCCCCCGGCTTCTCAATGGAGAGTCGGTGCATGGATGCCCTTACGTGCGGCGGTGAGGCTGCATCGTTACGAGCCCGGGACTGGGTCAATCGATGTAATCGTGTGTCGTTGCAATACAATGTGTCACTGCGAGGAGTAGTAATTTCACTGCACTTCGCTTTACCATATTGATTGGCTCTGACTGAAGATGCGGCGCAGCTCCGCATCGTAGTGGCAACAGGGGCGATGGAGAGATGTGGGAATGGGATATTTTGTTCGTCATTGAAGCAAGTATGCCATTCTCACGTATAACTTGGATATGGTCAGCGTTTGGTGATACTGTACACAAAGGTGGCATTGCGAAATAAGTTTACCTTTAGTTCTGTGGGACGTTGATAGTGTCCTAATGGTGATTGCTTAAAATAGTTTGACACAATTTAAATGTATAAACGTACATATTTGTACAACATACATACGTACGCATATGCCAACGTGCACTACGCAGCAATGTATATCGAAACATTGCAAGTGTAAATAAATGAAGATGTGATTTTACATTCCTGTTCCTCGCTTTGTAAGCAAACTCTGCGGTCCCCTTAGATTATTTATTTTCGCTTTCTACGTACAGGACGCGAGCTTCGGGAGAGTTGGCTCGGGAATGTCGACGTTGTTTCCGTTGCGTTGAAAGATTCTTGTCCACGCAAAGCGTCTCCGTCGCTAGTGATGGCAGCCCGAGGGTGAAGCGAAGTTCCTTTTCACCGCCCGGCTCGTCGCGCGACCCTTGCAGAGCGCCGTGACGATTTACGAACCTCTTGTTTAAGTTCGATGTAAAAAATCTACGCACGGCGCACCTGGCCACTCGGCGGTGCTTCAGCCAACGCACCTGGCTCTTGCGCGGTGCGGCGCACCTGGGCCCACAACGCAGCATGGCTCGGCCGGCGCACCTGGCCGGAGCGTCAACGTTTAGCCACAGGCTCGAGGTGGGGTTTTGTTTCTATCTTTTTCGGGTGCCTCTCGAGGTGAGAAGGGAGATCCGATGACAACCAAAATTGACGGTTCGATCGCTCTCACTGATACGATGATGTTGACACGCGCACTTCACCTGCGCTTCGGATAGGGACGTTGTGAGTGACAGCGCCAACGATTGGTGGCTGCTTGTATAAACAAGCGTGTCCATCATTGGCCGTGGCATGTGTGCGTAATAAACAGAGCGTGTGTGAACTTATGCGTGCTTCACGTTGATAAAAAAAAAAACAGCATTGAGAGCAGCATCTCACACAAACACTTAATGCTATACATTTCCACACAGAGACAAATATATCTGGAATAACCGTTTGGGTTGTTGGGGTAAGTGCTATTCGTGAGCGCCTATTAAAACCCACGTACTCCAATTGGTATTGTGGCCAGCACAACATCCAGCCATCTCTTCGTATTGATATTTACACACTGTTGCAGGTACTCATCTAAGGCTGAATTATTTGATTGGAGGCTCTCAGTATAAGTTCAGACATTGCTTGCCACTGATTTTATCTCTTGCCATGAATCGAACATCACGTGAACCGCTGCACCATCAATCTCCACAGACACACGCGCACACATGCCAGCCCATATAACCCAAGCACCATCCCCTTACACAACATGTACCCACTGTGCAATCTAGCCGGGAATCGAACACTGTTCGCCAGGGGTCTTAGCGCAGTGCTTGCACCACTGCGCCACACACAAGACAAAGATCCCCCATATAGCCTGTAACAGACTGTTGGGGCAAGTGCTGTTGGCGTGTGCACACACACACACGTACATATTGATAGAACCTGTCCCCGGGTTTTTGGAGTGACAGGTTTCGGCATTGTGTGCGATTCCTCTCCGTGTTTCCGTCTCCCTTGATCGAATCCTTGGGTGCCGCTCTTGACCTGTTTCTCCCTCCCCGCCCCTTCTCCCACTCTCGCCCCCCCCCCCTCCACCCCTCCTGCCCTGGCACGGCAGAGAGAAGCAGGCAGTGGCGCGGCTGCAGAGGGAGGTTGCCCGGCATCGAGGCGAGGGCTCAATGGTGAGTTTCCGTCGTGGTCGCGGTTTCCCGACCAGTGCAAACATCCCCGGTGGCGTGCGCGTGCCTCTCACCGCTCGCACACAACGCAGCGAACTCGCCCCCGTGATATTGTCGCTCGTGTAACCTCGGCCAGCATGAAGTATTTTTTTAACGATTTAGTTAACAAATTCTCGCCAAATCTTAAGGGTCTTTTTCACGCGAGTCTTGCATTGGGATGTGTGGACAAGGCTCTGAATGAGCGTTTGGCTCTGCGTGGGAGGGGAGACCAGAGCACCTAGAGAAAAAATCCATGACGGGGTAACCCCCTCAAAACTCCGCACAGATGGGTTCAATTAACAACTGCTTTACTACCACGTCCTGGCCACCTTGCAGGCCAAGCCTACAACATCCGGCTTTCCCAGGCAGTCTCACATCCACGCTGATTATTGTTACGTTTATTGTTATGCTGGTTGGCCCAGGAAAGCGTCACTGAGTCTCAGACGCGTTCAGGAGGACCCTGTCGTGTTTTCTAAGTAGGGGCTGAGTGCGATCCCAACGGAGTAATATTCAGGTAAGTTTTCAGCTTTGGGATGTTTTTAGCCAATAGCAATTACATTGCTTTTTTGTGTGTTTTGGTTTCCGAGATCTGATAAGATCGGGAGCAATCGGGGTGATTCAGTTGGAAGCAAATGTTCTTGTTGTCTGTAATGTCCATGTCAAAGTTGAAAGCAAATTATGGATCTTGCCACGATATATGACCGGCATGATGTATGGGTCCTGGCCATTCAGGCTTGAGAAATAAATATCAAATGTCAAAGGCATGCTTGAAACACGATGCTGTAGTGTACCAAGTCATTTATTTTGTAAATTATTAAGAGTAATTATTACATTTTAAAAGCATTAGCAGTCCTTCCAGCAGATGTAGCACACCAATTTAGCCATGTGAATGTATTTAATAAGTGTTGTAGTTCACCGAGTCGTGGGAACGCACTCAGAGTTGTGTTCATGCATGTCACATGTAGAGGTGGCACGATACCTCCTTGCAATGAAATTCATCATCGTGATTCAAGGTCATAATTCGGTTCAATAATCGATTATTTTTTAGCTTCGTGGTGAACGTAGCGGCCTCTAGTACGCATGTTTATTGAAATTATTTCTCACCGTACGTAGCTAACCGTGCGAATCCAGTTACTGGAGTGATCATGTAAACCTGTAACACACAATACCTACGAGCTGACAAACATCCATTCATGCATCGTGCGGTTGGGATTTGATACTATAGAAGTTATAGATGTAACTAAATGCTGTGTCATGCATTATTGTGAATTATCACACTTGTCTCTTAAGACTTTACAAGCGTATGGAGGGGTATGCAAGAGCATTGCTTGGCGCAGTCGTTGCACAGCTGTTTGCCCACTGCACCATAGATCTGACGACCTATAGTTCGATTCCCAGTCATGGTTAGCGTCAGTGCCGAGTGATACCTGACCTGGTCCTGGGTCTCATCGTCAGAATTTTTATTTCCTTATCCTGGAGAAATCCGATGAGCTGTGAAACTCCTTTTCACAAATGTCCAACCTGCCGTGACCAGCGTGGTGAAGTTTGGTTAAACCACCTCTCGTGACCGACGCGGTATGGGTTAAGCCTTCGACAAAGAGCTTGCTATTTATTTGCTCACGTGGTTATTTTTTACTCGCGCATTACTGTTGCTGTGATCAACGCCCAGGGGAGTCGGAAACGAATGAGAGGCTCCATGGCAGAGGCACTGGGAGGGTGCATCTCCAGTCATCGTGGACGGCTCGCTGTCAACGTCCTGTGTGTGTCTCCGCTATTTAAACTATGGGAGAGCGGGCTGATTGAGACCAAAAAGGAGAAACCAAGCGATACAATCTTGATTTTGAAGCTTTCGTGACTGCAGGAATCCATACTCTTTGGTTATTTCGGTAAAGTCACGTAGGTATAAAATAAAAGCGATACATTTACACATGTAAGCAGTTGAAACAACCGATAGCATTAATCTGATGTCATTGCGTTAAATTACGATGAATTAGTTAAACTACAATTAATAATAGATGAACAATAAACCCGGCACTGGCCTATATCGCATTCTTGTCCAACAAAGTTCACCCCCTCGTCCTAGCTACGATTTATGACCACATTCATCATCGGCTTGTTCATTTGTTGCAATAACAACAACAGCAATAATAATGTCACGCGTTTATTACTGTGCTTTACACTCCGGCGATAAATTGACCCAAAGGCACAAAATCAGAAATGTCAAGGTCATCTTTAATGCGTTTCAAAAGTGGCAACAGTTAAAGGCTCGGGCGGTTGGCTTCCTCGCTCCTAACGGTTGCGATGCAGCCTGTCTGATGGGTATCTGTGGACGAGTGGGTCGTTTTTGTGGAGTGGGGGTGTGGGTAATGGATTTGCTGGCAAAAAATAAAACCCGCGCACGCCTCTCTGCAGCTCCCTGGAGAAATGCCACGCAAAAACCATCTTCCCCGTCTCTCTTTTTGGGTGTTGGTTTGTTGTTTTCTTCCAGTGTTGCCAGCTTTCTCCTCTCCCCCCTCTCCTCTGTCGCGGCTATAAATAAGGTGGCCATCGACGTACGTAATAGAGGGCTATAAAGCGCGGCCCGTGCGGGGAACGAGGAGGAAGTGCCCCTGCTGCCCGTAAATGCCCTGCGCGCTCCGAACGCCCTGCAAGTCGTGTGTGCCCTTCTGGCCCCGCCGTCGCAATCCGTGGTTCGCAAAATATGTTGTCCATGGATCTCGGGACTAATCGGAGCCAACGCAAACATAAGCAGACGGCAGTTGTCGTTACGGCCGGTGGGCAAATAGAAAGTCCGCGACTGTGAATGAATACGTTATAAAGACAATGACGACTTCTACCAATAGGCGGCGCTAGCACTTGGTGTGTCGATGCCTCCAGAGTTTGTTGCAGGGCTAAATCATCCGGGTAATGGTTGGTCTTCTTGCTTTTTGGGGGGTCGCGGGGTCCGTTGAGATCTACTGACATGGATCACGGTGCTTGGTGGCTTGAGTTTGAGTGGCGCCCGTCTCTGTCATGGTTTTGCTCCCCCCCCCCACTTTGTAAATTCAGTTCCTTCCCTTGACTCTTTCACCACCACCCATGCCCGATGATGCCAAACTCTGCCGTTGTTATTCATCTTGATTATTTCTGTTGAAAGTAATTTAGTTTTAAGTGATTTACGGATTACAAACCTAAATCAAAGTTAAAACTAACAAAACAACGTTTAAATTTGGCACAACTGGTCGTAATACAGATCGTGACGATGTGGTTTTAATTACCGAATGGCCTACAGGATGTGTCATACATAATGCTGCATGGTATAGAGCAGGGGCCGGCAACCTACGGCTCCGGAGCCGCATGCGGCTCTTTACGGGCTGCTTCTTGACGATATGTACATATGTACAGTATGTACTCAGATGCATTGCGGCTCTTGAAATACTGAATTTTGTACCGAATTGGAAATAAATGGCTCTTCTTGTTATTTTGGTTGCCGATCCCTGGTATAGAGTGTTTCCACCGTTGTAAAGCCGCAGTGGCATCCATTATTTATTTATTTGGGGGGCCCTCGAAATCCAAGGCCCAAGGCTGCAGCCCCTGAAGCCCCCGGTGCTAATCCGGCCCTGGGTGTAGTGGTGGGGGTGGGGGGCATGAGCCAGGGAGGATGGCGTGGTGGAGAGGGTGGGGGGACACTTCTTTGAAAAACCTTCATCGAGGGCTCCCGATTCTTCACGCACGGACGCTGCAGTGATTTACTGAGGATACCATGGTCCAGAGTTCACACAGCCTCCTTGCCGTATCCGTTTCTCGAATGAATGCAAAGGGGGTGGTGTGTGTCCGCGCGCGTGTGTTAGTAGTAAAATGTGGGGAGCGGGAGTGTAGCGGTGAGCGCGCTGCCCTACGAACCCGGCGTGCCGAGTTCGATTCCCGCTCGCGGCCAATACCAGTGGCAATTATCAGAACCAATCCTGGGCCTCCCCTAGGTCGACTCGGGCTCAAATGAATACCTATTGCGATGTGTACACATTGCCACGAGGGAGACAAAGGCGGGCGTGATGCTGTCCACCCACCCCCTCGTGTGCCGTTCCAGCCTTCATTGGTGCCCGCTAACAACACTTACCCAAACAGTCTGTTAAAGGCTATACGATGGATTTTTGTCTTTTTGTTGTAGTCATAGCAATATTTACAAGGGTAGCTCGAGTTTACATCGCTGGTCAAGAACATCATCGTATGCGGAATGAACTTTTTCATCATGCCAGGAAGTGTGTATGCAAGGGGCAACTGATCACCATATCTTCCAAAGTTTGGAGTTCGCCATAGTTACAGGGACGATTGTCTCGTAATCTTTGCCACTTGCGTAACAGATTCGATTCCCTCTGTGGGAAGTCCTGATGCAGTTTATGACCACCCGCTGTCGTCAGGATAGCTTGAAGGCAGGAAGTTTTGGCCGTAGGATATTCAATCGCGCTCCTGTTATTGACGTCCGTGCTGCCCTATTGGTGTTGCCCACTTCTCCTCCTCTCGAGCAAAGTTCCATTCCAGAAAATGGGCAGCTGCTGTTGTCCAGAAGGGTCGGCCTAATATTAATCAGGGAGGCAGACAAGCAGTCACGATCTTCACTGATGTGTAGCATTGCGTGATATTGACTAGAAAAGAGAGTAAGTAGGCTTGGGCAGAACATGTCACCAGAAGTAACGATGGCCGCTAGCCGATAATTAAGACTGATTGACAGCCAAGGGAAAAACGGGCATGAGAGGTCCAACCACCGAGGCGATGGAGCGATGAAATCACCTCGTGTGCAGGTGGTAAGCGGATTATTATTTTGCGCGATCGTGAGAGGTGGCGACACCTCGGGAAGGCCTTCATCCAGCAGTGCATCGATCGTGGCCGAGGATGACGACGACGATGATGAATGCTCCACAGCAGCACAGAACGATTTTGTTCGCAGGGGGGGGGGGGGGGGTCGTCATTCGTTGTCTTGGTGTGCA